GTCCTTCTTTTGCACCACCTGCCTCCCGGTGGCCATTCCCCCCTTCCACTACACCAGTGTTTCCCAAACTTGACAATTTTAAGGCATGAGGACTTCAACTCCCAGAATTCCACAGCCAGCGTTGCTGGCTGTGGAATTCTGGGAGTTGAAGTCCTCATGCCTTAAAATTGTCAAGTTTGGGAAACACTGCATTACACAAAAGGGATTTCTCTGGGCTTGCAAGGTCCCTGCACGGAGAAGGCGACAGAGCACCAGGCTTGAAGACACCACGCAGGCCAGGAGGATGGGCAGGTGGGCGGAAGCCGCCTGAAGATGGGGCTGAGGGAAATCAGGAAAAGGGAGAGAAGGAGGCAGTCCAGGCAGGAGACAACCTGGATCCGATCCCCCGGCCCTGCCCTGTGTCCAGCCAGGAGCAGCTGAAGACTCTGGTTCTCTAGGCTGCACCTGGAGGTTCCACCATGCCAAAACCCCAGATCCACCTTCTTCTCTGAGAGCCTGTCCCATCTGCCTCAAGCGCTCTCAGCTGGGGGTCTTCACCATGTCTTCCGCCAATGACACCCCCCCCCCCGATCTCCCGTGGGAATTCTTTCAGCTGCACTGGGTGAAAAAGACCCTGAGACCAAAGGGAAAGGGGGACGGCGTCTCTCTTTGCTCCTGCTAACCGACCAGGCTGCTTTCTGCTCCGGACTGAAAGACTCAAATGACAAGAAAGTCCGCAAGAAGGGAAAATCTCTGTCCTGGTTTCATGTCTAGAGCTGGAGAGAGACGTTCTCCTGCATTCGGCCACTTCCCTTTCCCTTTCCGACCAGAGGCCCCTCTTGTTTTAGCTCCTTTCGGGAGATAAGCGAATTTGGGTGGCCGAGCGCTGGGCTGGGTGGTGTGATTGTGTGTGTGCATGTATTTGCCTGTGGGAACATCCTCCCTTCCTCTCAAAATAGCCTGAGCAGGAACCCTGCTCTTTATGGCCTGACGGGGGTTTTCTGGTGCCTTTTCCCAAGAGAGAGGCAGCTGACCTAGAGAACCCCCTCACTGCCCCCCACTCCCCACCCCATACCAAAGCTTTCCTGCCAGTGCAACGCTCCCACTTTTCTCCACTGCATCTCCTGTGAAGGCTACACAGAAGAGCAGATGGAGTTTGGTCGCAAAGAAAGCCATCGGGCTCCCCGACCCCCACCCCATTCCCTTCAACGCCTCCCATGGCTGTGAACGTGTGGGGAGAAGTGCTCTCGCTTCAAAGAGCCGCCCTCTCCCGCAGCATTCCTGGGCTTCTGAAGGCAACCAAGGTGGGAGCATGCTGGGAAGTCCCAGGGGGGCTGCGGGGCCAGTTTGGGGTGGCAGGCCTGGGTCGCACCCCTGGCCGAAAGATGTGGGGAAGATGACTGGTTGGCAAAGGCTGCCTGTGCCTCTGAATCTCTGAACCACTTATGTGCACGCTTGTGGAGGGGGAATCCTGTGTGTGAGAGTTAATTTGCCTCTGAATAAAACCTGTGGCTGGATCTCTGGGTAGGTGCATGGCTCAGTCTGAGTCAGCGCTGGGTTGACGTGCCAGGATGGGCCCCTTGCAGGCACTCCCGATTCGGCCCACTCGGGCTCTGTCCTCCGTGCTCTGGTGGAGAGAGGCAGCCATGCAGGGCTCCCCTCTTGGCCTTGGGGGCTGATGCCCGTCTGAGGCTGGAAGCTTCCAAGAAGCTATAAGGCGCGCACGCACAAACACACACACTCCTTGCTCACTAACAAGTACAGATACTCCTCAACTTACAACCACAGCTGAGCCCAACATTGCTCTTAAGTGAGACATTTAACAACATTTTACAACTTTTCTTGCCACAGTTAAGTGAATCGTTGCAATTGTTAACTTAGTAACATGGTTGTTAAGTGAAGCTGGCTTCCCCATTGATTTTGCTTGTCAGAATGTTGCAGAGGGGGATCACGTGACCCTGGGATACTGCGACCGTCATAAATATGGATCAGTTGTCAAGTGTCTGAATTTTGATCATGTGACCTTGGGGATGCTGCAAGGGTCGTGTGAAAAACAGTCATGTCACTTTTTTTCAGTGCCGTTGTAACTTTGAATGGTCACTAAATGAACTGTTCTAAATTGAGGATTGCTTGTATCACGGGGCCCAGGGCTGACAAACTGATCTACCCACGTTGGAGAAATCAACTTCCCATTGGGAGCCAGAAAAGCAGCTGGACAGGTGAACTGGGGGGGGGGAGGTGGCTCCCGTTTGGATTCATGCTTAAAAAGGTTGGTATGGATGGCCTCAAGGGCTCCTTCCAGCTCAAATCCTCAGCAGATTAGTGGCAGGAAAGTGGGGATCTGTGCCAGGTGGGGGGGGGGAATTGCTGAGCATCTTCTGGGAGTCCATGGCCCAAATCCCCTGAATTTGGAATTTATCTGTTTGATCTGTTTATAAAACTAAGAGTTTTATTAAACAGCTGGAAGCCCTTTGTGGACTTTTTGCTGAAAATGGGGTGAGGGGAAATAAGCTGGTGACTTTTGGATTTATAGATTTAAAAGGTTGAATCAGGGACGGAGGGCAACTATGTAATGTCAGAGCAAGCTTCAAGTTTGCTTGTAACTGCTGTAATGAACAGAGGTCACTTCTTTAATTATTCTTTCCTATCTCTATGGCCTTTCACAGTTATTCTTTTCAGCTTTTTTTAAAAAAATCTGTTACTTAATTTTTATTCTATATTTGTTTTTATTCTTGTAAAAATCTTCAATAAAAATCACATTGAAGAGAGAGAGAGAGAGAATGCACACACACACACACACACACTGGGCACTTCATCTGTCCTCCCCCCCCCCCGCGCATGTGCCCCCCTCCTTCTCCGAGGGCAGGGAGACGGTCAGGCCCTTCCCCAGCAACCGCTTAGAAGTTCCTCTTCACCGAAATTCTGCCTCTCTCTTGCGAGGTGGGGAATCCGTAAAATCCCACTTCCTCCCCTCTCCCCGTACACAGCGAGGTGTCTGCTTTGGGGTCTTTCCTGGGCTGCAGGCAGCTTCCTTTGGGGCTATCTCAGAATGGGCGGCCTGCTTTTGCCACTGACGGCTCATCCTTCCAGAAAGCCCCTCCCTTTCTTCACAGCCCTCCCTCCCCCCCAGCCTCAACCCTCCCCCCCCACACAAATCCCCTGCAGCACTACCGAATGAGTTGGTGGCTAGACCTGTTCTGGGATACCAGGATTTCTTACTTCCTTCCCCAAACATAATTGCAAGCTTTGACAAGGACGCCTCGTGTTGAATTGCACAAGGGCAGCCCGTTGCGCCAGGACCCGTCCCACGGGCACAGCGGGAGGAACCGCCTGCTCTGCTCTGCTCTGCTCAGGGTGGGAATAGAGCCCACAAGTGGAGGGGGCCAACCCAGGGAAATAATCCCGTCCCTGGCAGGGCAGAGAGGGGAGAAAGGCTGGTTCCAAGTGAGCTCATGGGCAGGCCAGAGACCTGCCAAAGGTGGTTCATGGCCCTCTTGGTCAGCTCTCCCTAACTGCCCCGTTTGCTCTGCTTGCAGTTCTCTCTATTTGGAGCATTTGGACGGCAGGCAGCAGACGCTGATCTCTCGTGCTCCAAGCACTTCCGCTTCCTTAAAAACAAAGACATTGAAGAACTGAACTGGCAAATGTGGCATCTTGCTTAAAGAAGAAAAAAGGCCCACACCGGGAGGCAGTTGTCCACATCCAAGCCAAGGTGCCAAGGGGGAGTGCCCTCCCACTGCCACAAGGCTGGGCTCCCAGAAGAGAGAGGAGGCCTGGAGGTCCTGGATCCGGGCATCCCGTGGGCTGCCCAGGCACAGAGGCCTCGGGAGGACAGGAAAGGACGGGAAACATCACACGGGTGAATTCATCCAGGGAGGGGCTCCAATTTTGGTCTGGGGAGCAAAGCAGGCATTTCCTAGTTTGGATGCAACCCCCAACCAATCTCTGACAAAGATCCGGGATGTGTGCGAGGAGAGGCAGGCAGGGCTGGCCATCGCAACTTCCCCAGCTGGCAGGACGGCCTGTCCGGCTGTGCTTCTCCGGAGCAGCTCTAAGGAAGAGTGGAACGGCTCTTCCCTGATCTGGGAAAGAAGCCTTAGACTCAGAGTCAGTCAACCCTCGACCTCTTTGCTCTAATCTTGCTCCAGATACCATTTTACCCACCCAGCTATCTCCATCCCGTCTGAGTGTATGTTATTTTCTTACAGCATTATTCTGTCCCTTCCAGTCCATTTCTCCAATTTGCTAACAAACAGAGCCACCCCAATGTTCCTTCCGTAAGCAGCATTGTGCAAGATGCAGAAAAGGTGCACCGTCTCTGCCTGCCTCCTTCGGGCCCCCCTGATGAAGGCAGCTGCAGTCACACTCACGAGCCCTGCCAATTTGGGGCAGGAAAGAGAAGGGAGGATCTTGGCTAGGGTCGATGTGGAAGGTCTAGGAAGCCTCCTGTTGTCCAGGCTGATTCCTGTATCCAAGACCAGCAACCGAGAGAAACCATAATAGAATTGAATTCAGAACTGAAAGGGCCAGTGGGCACCCGCAGCAAAGCGGCCCATCCTGCCCTGGGTCCTGAGCCATATTGTGCCAGTCAGGACAGGGCAAGGGCTTCCATCTGGCAGCTAGCCGAGCCAGAGGTTGCCAGTGGGTCTTGCGCTCAGTAGCTGATCCCTGTGCAAACTCGCTTGCTTTATAGTTGAGCTGCTTACAACCGCAGACCAGAACATCTTGAAAGTTAAACTACTCTAAGTGCTCTCTCCAGAAGGAGCCCATAAATATTCCTGCCTGTGACCATCAGCAACCTTTGCCCCTCCCTTTTGCACGTTCTGCTCCAAGGAAACGACATTCCGAGGAAGCCTGAAACACAACAGCACACGCCTACCCATTCCCCCTGCCGTTGCCCTCACCTGCCGCCTTAACACACTTCCTCTCCAATCACTCCTACAACTGCCCCAAAGGCGTTTCTGGTTGCCCCCTTTTATGCCAAGGGCTGGGCCACAGCCCTTCTCACCGGAGCAACTCACTGGGAAAAATCCTTCAGCAGCTCAGAAAGGGCAGCGCCAATGCTCTCCGCAAGAGGAAGGAAGGGGGGGCTGGGCATCCTGCTGCAACCACCGAGGGACAGCCGAGGGTTCCCGAGGGAAGGAGCAGGCTCTCCCGCTCAGAGAGCAGAGCTGGTCTCAGAGAGATGCATTTGGTGGGATTGAGTCTTGTGCAATACTGCATAATGTGCCATAAAAACTGGGCATGGTTCAGGAGCTGCAGGAGCCCCTTCATTGGTTTGCCTTCTTAGACATGGGGGAATTCTTTGCCTGGCCACCCTTTTCCCACCAGCCTCTCGTGGTGACGGTGCCTCCAAACACTGTTCAAAAGTCCACATCTGCTGCCTCTAAAATGAGAGGGATTCCAGGTTTACAGGTTTCAAAAAAGTCTTTCAGAAATACTTTAAAAACATTAGACAGACAGACACACACACACACACACACACACAGATTGTAGGGAACTGTTACTTGTCAGTGAATCGCCCAATGCCATCCATGCTTATAAAGGCCGGGGCTGCTCGCGCATGTGGGGAAGGGCCCCTTCCATAAGGAATTTCTTTGCAGCAGGAGAAGTGCTGGGGGGGGGGCTCTGACCAGCAAGTGCCCCCCACCGGACTGGGCTTTTTTGGGCCAACCTCAGAGGAAGACAGGCAGATGAGGCTGTCCCAAGGGCAGCTGGCAGAAAACCAAATATTCTGAACATGTTTATATGGTAAGATGTTTATAGAGTGAAAGTTAATGTATCCGGACTGCACAACATTACTCTAACAGGCCAATTGGGGGGGGGACATTTCAACATCAATTTCATGCCAAGAGCAGCTTCTCCTGAGAAAAAGGCTGGGTAGAGAAAGTGGGTCTCAGAATTGATTTAAAAGCCAAGCACCTCTTGAGGAACAATGGCTGAGCGTGGGCGTCCAAGAACACACACACACACACATGCTATGAACCCAGCATCATGGATGCAAGGTGGACTCTGGCCAGGATGGGGAGCAGAGAAGACCAACCTCCTGGCCACAAGTTCTTGAGATCTTTCAGGTCTCAGCCAGGCTTGGAACCCAAGTAGGGCCAGCTCTTCCCTGGGCCTGGACTGTCAGGAAATTTGGAGGCCAAGCATCGGATCGAGGGCCAAAAAGGCGGTTGCAGAAGACAACAACCACAAACTGCTTTGGCCAAGCTCGGCTGAAGAGGAGGTCCCCTCCCAGTCCCAGAAGTGCCCCATGCAGCAGGACAGGAGGCGCTCTGCAGCCTCAGGCCCCTCCCCCAGGCACTCAGCACCCACTCCTCCTTCAGGCAGCCCCACTGGGAGGGTCAGCAGCTGTCCCTCTGGCGCTCCTCTGGGCAGACCCTGAGCCTCACCTGGCCCAGGTGGCCTCCGCAGCCCAAAGGGCAAGAGCTGGTGCCCAGAACCACCACTGCCTACAGCCCACGGGGGAGGGGGGGAGCATACAAAACAAAACCTAGAAGGGGAAGATGCCCCACGGGTGCAAACACTGCTTGCGCACGGCTTCTGGCGGGGTGGGGGGACGGCAAGGCATCGTCGCTAAGCACGGCAGTGGGCAGAGGCTTCCCATTTTGACCTCTCCCCACTGCCATAGCCTCTGCACCGGGACTCCGGCCTAAAACCGAACAGGGCGTTTGGCTGCTGCCCCCCACCCTGCACCTGATCCAGCTGGCCTGATGCCAAACGGGCAGTTCAGCTGTCCCCCACTGCATGCCACCACTGTTCGCCCACACACACCGCCAGCAGCTGCACTTACCACCAATGCCCTGCACCCCCCCCGCACCACCAGAAGCCATGCGCAAGCAGCGTTTGCCTGCCACCGTCACCTTGGCAGATCTTACTCTCTCCCATAACTTGTCACCAATCGCAGCCCCCTCAGTCACCCTTCCCAGCACCATTGTTGCCGCCTGCCACCCGACTGACTGCCGGCTTCTTGTCCCGTGGAGCAAAACACCCGGGACCAACGGCGTCTGGGCCGGGGCGAAGGGCCAGGGGCCCGTTGCCCAGAGAGAATGGCCGGGGCAGGGCCAGCGGGGGAAGAAAGCTGGCTGGGAATGGGCCGAGGCAGCTGGCTGGAGGCGACGTGGGCGCGCGGCCAATGGTGGGAGCCTAAAGGTCCCAGACCGTGTGGGAAGCTGCTTCTGAAACCCCTGAAGCAAGGAGGGGCCTCTCCCCCCACCCCCCTCGAAGAGCAGAACCAGATTCAAGCAAAGGAGGGGAAAACACCACATCTACCGCATGCTCTTTTCTTGGCACACAATCTGGATTCCTTAACTCCGGAAAATACTCGGAAAATCTTGCTTTCTTCCTTTTAGGATAGCTCTGGCTTTCCTGGCCCAGGAGGTGGTCACTGGGGCTGGAGGACAGAACCCCACATTGTGCCCTGGCTGTGGGCATTTCTCCCCTCCTGCTCAATCTGCACACTTCATCTCGTGTTGCTTTTGCTGCACGTTTCATGCAAGCGGGTGCGCATGATTTAAAATCTAGTTATTTAAAATCTATTCCATAAACTGCCACGAGCAATTTCTGAATGAGCACATAAATAATTTATGTTACTCGAAATTTTCCATGATTCTCTGATCTTTTCATATTTTCTCAGAAACTTTCCTGAAATTCATGAAAACTTTACTAGGACACCAACGAGAAGTTCTAAAACTCCAAGGAAATGAAGCTGCCGGCTACAAGCACCCAGGGTGGACTATGATTCCCCCAGCTCTGCCCTCAGGTAAGAGGGTCTTCGGGCCTTCTCTAGCCAACACAGACCCCAGACCCGAGTCCCGGTGGGTGGCCCGTCCTCCATTCAGGGAAAGGTCTGCTGCAACCCCCTTTTTTTTCTCATGCTCCCAGTTTGGCCCCGGCCTCTGGCGCCAGGCTTGTTGACTTTGCCGCACAATGCCTGGGTCAAAAGCAGTCTGTTTGTTTGTCCTTCTAATGCTCGCCATGTGACAGGAGAAACCCTCAACCATTTCAAGAAAGCAGCCTGATCCGTCCTGTTGACTGTGACTCCCCAGCTCTGCAAGGCTCCTCCGTAGCAGTTGAACTCGGGGCGCCCGACGTCTGGGGCTGGGCTGCGCCTGTGAAGCGCCCCATTTGGATTCCCTCCAGACCAGCCTTTTATGCTCTTCAGCGAAGCTGGTCCTCACACTCGGCCTAATTGTGTGGCCTGGAACCCATCATCCTGGGCAGGCCTGGCGGGAGATCCTCCAGAGCCAGCTGCAAACATCTAGTCAGCTCCCCGATGCCTGCAGAGGTCAGGAAATGCCAATGCTGGTCTTTCATTCAGATCCCAAGGGGCTTGAGGAGAGAGTGCACTTTAAAGGGAGGGAGGCAGCTTCACCCAGATTCATTCCACCCCTTAATTCCAGCAACCTGGAATTAAGGCAAAAGTTCCTAGCAGTGAGGACCATTAACCAGTGGAACAGCTTGCCTCCAGAAATCGTGGGTGCTCCATCACTGGAGGTTTTTAAGAAGAGACTGGACAGCCACTTGTCTGAGACGGTATAGGTTCTCCTGCTTGAGCGGGGGGGGGGCTGGACTAGAAGACCTCCAAGGTCCCTTCCAGCTCTATTCTATTCTATTCAAAGGGGGAGGGGTGACGAGTTCAAAGGGGCTGTTGGCTCTGCAGAGGAAGCAGGACAGGAGGGAGAGGACAACGGTCAGCCTGCAACCTCCATCCATCTCTTGGGGGTCTCAACCTTGGCCAGGCTGAGGAGAAGATAAAAGAAGCAGCCCAAAGACCTTCTCTATTTTTCTCAGCCTCTCGAGAGCCGCTTGGCCAGAGCGAAAGACTCAGAATCACCAGCACAAAACCACTTGAGGAAGCTGGAAGTCTAGAAGAAATTCAATTTCTCTCTCCAACCCTCCTGCCAGTGAAGGGCCAGCTGCTCACCCCTGGAGCTGCAGCACACTCTTGCGTCTCCAGGCACACACAGCCAGCATCGGCCAGGGCAGCCCTGCCATGACATCCACCTCTGCCTGGCTGGCAGACCCACCAGCTGTGCCTGCCCTGCAGAAGAGGGAGGTGGGCAGCGTGCAGGAAGGAGCACCATATATCCCACCTCTCCTCTCCTAGCTGGAGAAGAGTCCGAAGGGACATCGCTCTTCCCCCCCACCCCCACCCTATGCCCAAAGCCGGGAAGCCAAAGGACGCTTAATTTCTGAGGTGCCTTTGCCTTGTCCAGCTGCCCCGTCAGCAGCGTCAGGCCTGGCAAAAACTGTCATAACGGATCGAGCTTTGTGAGGGCGATTAGGACTGTCCTAAGATGCACCTCTCGCCCTGGCTTGAAGGGGGGTTTCTGAATGCATCCACTTCATTTTCGCTTTTGTCCAGAGCAGCGGTTCTCAACCTTTGTGTGACGGCGACCCCCGTCACACGGACACACCGCGCATGTGTGGCGGCGCCCCATGCGCAGCGCACATGCGCGGCGGCAGCGCCCCCTGAGGGGGAAAAATGGCGGATCGCGTTGTTTGGCGACCCCCGTAAAATGGTCGTTCGACCCCAAATGGGGTCGCGACCCATAGGTTGAGAACTGCTGGTCCAGAGGTTGGGCTAACCTGCCCCCATCTGCCCCCCCTGCTGGCTCTCCGTGCCGCCTCAGGGTGGCAGGCCCAGACTGGCAGAGAGACCAGAGACTCACAAGCGCAAAGGATGCCAGCACAGGATCCAGATCCTGCAACAAACCCAGACGGCCACACTTTGCCCTCACAGCCACAGCACCCACTGCGGCATCTCACACCCGAGGTTAGCGGCTCCTTCGCCTGCTCCTCCCCCATCATCCGCCAGCCATGCGCCTCTGGACACAGAACGAATGGGACCAACTTTGGGCAAAAGAATTTAGGATGCCAGGTGGTTATCGGGAGTCGGAAGTTCTTTTACCTCCCGGATAGTCCATTACCGGCCTCAAAGGGGCCACTTTGCAAAAAAAAAATGACAACCCCGTTGCTGAGCAGGAACGGTTTCAACCAACACGCACAATGTTTGCTTTGTAGTGGCACTTGATAAAGAGGGCCAGTTTAATCTAGGGGTGAATGTGTGCCTAGAAAGCGGGAGACGGTGAATTCTAGTCCCGCTCTGGCATGAAAGCTGGCAGCTGATTGTAACCCGTCTCTTGTGTGACCTGCGTCTGCCTAACTAACCCACCTCTCCCTACCTCAGCCCAAGTGCCACCCTCCCTCCATCCGGTCACCCCAGGCATCTGATGAGCTGCAGGACAATTAACCAGTGGAACACCTTGCCTCCAGAAATCGTGGACGCTCCATCACTGGAGATTTTTAAGAAGAGGCTAGAAAGTAACTTGTCTGAGATGCTATAGGGCAGGTTCTCCTGCTTAAGTGGGGGGCTGGACT